ATAAATAAAACACTGATTGGCCAGTAGCCAGGCAGGAAGTATAGGCGGGACAAGGAGAGAGGAGAATTCTGGGAAGTGGAAGGCTGAGGCAGAGAGACACTTCGGGCTGCCGCCATGACAAGCGAGATGTAAGGTACCCGTAAGCCATGAGCCACGTGGTAACTTATAGATTAATAGAAATGGGTTAATTTAAGATATAAGGACAGTTAGCAAGAAGCCTGAGCCATTAGGCCAAACAGTTTAAATAGGATAAGTGTCAGTGTGTTTATTTTCTAAGTGGGCTGTGAGACTGCCGGGGCTTGGTGGGACCTGGAGAGAAACTCTCTAGCCACACGAGCCTGCCCCCACTCACCTGCGATTCAAACACCTTTACTGTTGTGAAAAGTAGTGGGAAGACTCAGCCTCCTGTGTGTGGAGGGAATGGCTGGACACTGCAGCACAAAGGTCTCTAGTGCCATCAAGGCACACAGGATTACCCAGGGCTCCCCTCTCACCAGAGGGTTATATTCCCTTTCTCCTGTTATTGGGTACCGGGCCACCTCTGTGGACCCAAAACCTAGCAGCCCTAAAGGTCCCTGCCAGTCTTGCTTGACTGTTCCTTTGGTTGTTTGTTTGGTGGTTTGTTTTGTTCTGACTGTGCTTGTCCTCACTCACACGCAGGAAATTCCGTGTTTGCTGCTCACCTAGGCACCTGTGAGTTCTTTTGTACAGAGGCATGTGGCCCCTGAACAGAAGAAGTTCATGTCATCATTGTGAAAAGTGAAATTTAAAAGTGTGAGTTGAAAAAAAATTCAAGGCTGTTTAAAAAATAATTATCCAACGACCCTTTTACTTTTAGCAATTTCATTTTCTTTATGCATCTTAGAGAATATGAGATTATCTGGATAAGTGGACCATTTTCACCAACTTTTGCCAGCCATTGGAGCCCTAGAATGGTCTCTACCAGCCTTGTGGCTCCCCGAGAAGGCCAACTCCCAAGTTCCCACCTCTGGACCTGACCTTTCTTTGAACCTCCAAGCCCACATCTCTGCCTGCCTGCTCAGTGTCTCCTCTTAGATGGCTCCTTGAGCATCACATACATGAGGCACCCACAGAAGTCAGGACAAAGGGCTGGGGCCCCTGGAACTGGAGTTACAGATGTTATGAGTCACCACGTGGGTGCTGGGAATGGAACCGGCGTCCTCTGTGAGAGCAACAGGAACTCTGAGTTGTCCCTCCAGTCCCACTGGCTGGCTGCTTTCATTAAGCCTGGCCGCACCTGAACTCCTGACTTTACGGATGTGTGCCCGCTGCACCTGAAGTGCCCCCTTCTCAGGAAACCGAACCTGTAGTGGGTAGCCATTCCAGCTTGGATCTGGAAGTTCCAACCCGCATTGAGACTCTGGCAACTGTCACGCCTATGAGGCGGGGCCAGGGGAGGCGCCTGGAGACCTGAGAGCTGGATGGGCCAGCACTCTCTCTGTGTGCTCTATCTGTGCCATCTGTGCCGGGACGCTGAACATTGGAGGTGGACCCAGAGTTCCAGAGAACACCGCTGGATTGTGATACACCTTTCCCAGACCCTGCGACCTACCTATCACTTAATTTGTGAGTTACGCCATTAAATAAATATCCTTTTAACTACGTGGAGTGGCCAAAATAATTTCACCAATACGAACCCCATTCTTGCAGTTCCAACTTAGAGCCTCACAGTCACCCCAGACCTTTTGTTTTTCTATTACTCCCTGCATTCCCCACCACCCTAATCCAGAAAGCTGTGCTGCCCATAATCCCAGGATGTAACTGCTTCTCCCAACCAGCTCTGCTACGACCAAGTTCTGAGTTACTGCTGTTCTTACACCTGGATTACTTTACACAGAAGCGTCAACATTTCCTGATTGGTCTTTTGCCTCCCTAGAACATGTGAACAAGAATATGTTCATAACCCAAAAGTTGGAATGACCCTTTAACAACCTAAATGCCATACCCTCCTCTACCCATGGCCATTTTGAATCTCTGCATTTCACTTGGAACAAAGCCGCAGCCCTTATCTCTGTACAAGGATGTATAGGGTTCCCTATCAAGGTCCTGCGTGATGTGAGCATCTCCTGCTCCCACCACTGACTCCGATTCTCCCTCCTGTCCCCTCTGCATCAGTGATGCTGGCCCTCTGGAGGTTCCTCCTGAAGGTCTTTGAAGTGGCCACACACTGCTGGGATTTTCCGACTTGTGTTTGTCAATGGGCTAGCTCCCTCACCTGCTAGATACTTAAATAGTCACAGTGAGGCTAGCTCTAAGCACCCTTCTAGAGTGACCATCAGTCCCTCATCCCCTCCAAGTGCTCCATCCCTAGTAGCCTTTGTTGCTTTCCTCTTACCCACACGATCTCCTAAAACAATATGTCACTATTCACCCACCGTGGTAATTAGTTGTTGTCTATCTGTCCCAACTGGAATGTACACTCCACGAGAGTGGCCATGGTTGTCTGTTTGTTTTAGTGATGTAGTCCACGTGCACATGGATGGGAAATGTTTCTGTGTGTAGATTTGATGAATGAATGCAATGTCCTTCACTGCATCTAAAAATGTTGAATGTTACTATAGGAACACACGGAGACTTTGAGCAGAGAAAGGGTAGTATTAGAAGAATCAGTGTTTCACTTTTTTTCTCCTTCCTGACCCATCGTGTGTGTGTGATAGAAAAATAAAAATCCATTTTAGTATTAGGTGCATTAGGCAGGAAACTTCTCGGTGTTCACAAGACCAGTTTGGCACTGTCTGGTGAGCCCTGACACACAGTCTTGCACATGCAGGTATTTTGCACCTTTGGTAGAATGCACAATGGCACATTAAAGAGCTGGCCTTGCCTTCTGAGCACATTGCCGTTCCCGGTCATTGACACATTTTAAATGATCTAGGTATTTTATTACCAAGAGCTACATTGATGATTGTAGGCTATTCTTAAAGACCAAGAGCTGGGGAGCTGAAGAGCTGAAGAGCTGAAAGGTGGCTTAGGTTCCCTTCCCAGCACCCACAGGGTGGCTTACAACCATCTGTAACTATCCAGGGGATCTGCCGCCCTCTACAGGCCTCTACTGGCACTGCATGCATAGGATGCATGCAATGCATCATACATACATACATGCAGGCAGAATCCTCATACACATAAAATAATAAAAAATTATCTGAGTGTGATGCCTTTAATCCCAGCACTTGGGAGACAGAGGCAGGTGGATCTCTGTCAGTTCAAGGCCATCCTGGTCTATATAATAAGTTCTAGGACAGCCTGGGCTACATAGTGAGACCCTGTCTCAATAAATAATAACAATAACAACAACAATAATAAATAAAACAAAATAAAAATGAAAAGAAAAAATTAAAATAAAACAAAAGACTGGGAGTGAGTTGAGCTGGAGCGATGGTCTAGTGGTTAGAGTGAGCGCAACCCTTGTAGAGGACCAAGGTTCAGTTCTCAACACCTATTCAGTGGCTCACAACTGTAACTCCAGTTCCAGGGGATCTGATACCCTCTCCTAGCCTCTGTGGGCACCAGGCACACATATGGTGAACAGAATACATGCAGGCAAACACATATACATACAACAAATACATCCTTAAAAAGATCTTTAAAAACTGGGTGGGCCGTGGTGGAAAGAATACATCCAAGATTTGGAAATCCTGGCAGCCAGGTCCAACCTGGGCACACTGTGACTGCTGGATGTGCTGGTGGAGGTATTTCACTTCTCTGACCAATCTGTTTGCTGGAAGATGTGGGCGTGGGTAGCCCTGCAGCGCGGCTTAGAGTGAGTGACAACCCCAAGCACCATTTCCTCATCTGGTAAATGGAGCAAGTGACTCCAACTTGAGCAGTGTGACCTGGATGACATGAGCATCCACGGTGTCCCACACAATGTCGCTGTTGTGTGGGGGCCGGTGGGAAGAGGGTGGCCGTCCTCAGCATCCGAGAGTAGGAAAAGCTCCTGGGAGGACCATCTCTGTGAGAAGAGTAAAGAGATTGGAACTGACCAGCGGGGTAGACCTCAAATGCGCATCCATATTGTAGGATGCATTTATTTTAGAAGGCTGTAAAAGGGCGTCATGGCCACATTTTCATAACAGCAAAAGAAGTTAAAGACATTACCTTTAGAGACTGCCCTGCCTTTCTCTTTAGCTGTGGTTGTTACGAAGCGTGGGGCCTCTTCATGGGGGATGAACACATTTGACCAAGTCTCTCGGCTGCTCTGGAGAGCACAATGCCTGCCTCTTCAAGAAGGTGGGTTCTCTCTGCTCCCTGAGACTCTGGTCAGGACTTGCGATAATGGAAAGCTATGATTTTTCCAAATTAAATGGAGTTAGAAAGCAGAAGTTCAACTGAGTGTTTCTCCTCCAAAGCAGAGTTCCTGGACAGAACCAATGACAGCCTGCCTTACGACAAGATCATTCACCACATCTGATGGAGACCCTTCTCTTTAGAGAGGCCATCACTGGCCTCTTCCGTGAGTTTTGGATGTATTTAATTAGATGTAATTTTTGGAAATGAAGGAAAAATGATTAAATCTGGTCCAGAAAAAAAAATATCATTATTTCAGCCATCCATCAAGATTTGACATCTAGAGTGTTACATGCTATAACTCAAATGAAAATATTTCACTTAAAAGTACAATGTTCCAGTCCACGCTGTCATTATAGGAAATCGTTAAGCATTTACGCGGCACTGTGTGCTGAAAACATGCTTTACAGTTATTTTTATTGCCCAGCAAAGCCCTCTGAGGCAGACTCTTCTCTACATCTTTAACCAAAGCAGAGAGAGGAGATTAAATTACTCAGGTTTTAGGGAGAATAAATGACTGGATCCAAGTGAGACCTTGGATATAAAATCAGCTGTTTTAATCTACTCAGCTATTATGTGAGAAATTTATTCACTGGATAAAATGTTACTTAATGTAGGCTTAGACCTTGTGTGTGAATCACTGCTGTGGGTTGACTATGGTTTGCTCCTTCTGAAAGGAAGTGTGTTGAAATTTAATTCCCATTAATAGATTCTAAGAGACAGGAACCATAAGAGATGAGGAAGGCTCTGCCGCCATAAGTGAGTGACTCTATCCTATGACTAAGAGAGTAGATGGCTATTTTGAATGTGTGTCTCCTCACTCTCTTGCCATGAAATACCTTGCCGAATCTCAGGACTCAGTCAGAAAGGAGGCCATCACCAGACGCAGCCTCTCAACCATGGGCTAGAACTATGAAGCAAAATCAACTTCTTTTCATTATAATTTGTCCAGTTCGTAGGTATTGCACTATCAGCAACAGAATACAGACTAAGGAAATTGTACAATTAGGTGATTAAAAAACCAAAAACCAAAAAACCAAAACCCTAAACCAAAAATCACAAAAACCTCTGAAGAGTACTGAATTCCTGATGAAATTTAATTAAAAAGCAAAGCCACTATACTTTAAAAGATGGGCCTCATTACACTGTGCTGTTCAACAACACTGCTCTGGCTGTGTCTCAGCCCACAGGCTAAGGGCGTCACAGGAAGGTGGGCATGCTGGAATCCTCAGCATACCGTGTGGGTTCCAGACCCCTGAAGTAGAGATGAGCAAATGTAGGCTCCCCACTGTCTTTCTGAGCACTGGACCAAGTTACCAGTCTGTCCTTCAGCCTTCTCTCCACAGCCACCGTCCCGTGGAGTCCACTCCTCTCCATGGCCACCGTCCCGTGGAGTCCTCTTCTCTCCACGGCCACCGTCCCGTGGAGTCCACGCCTCCCCACGGCCACCGTCCCGTGGAGTCCACGCCTCCCCACGGCCACCGTCCCGTGGAGTCCACGC